TTATAATTTCATCTTTCTGTGATTATTTTTTGAAAAAGTAAGCAAATACGTAACTATTTGCTTATCTCCCCTTTGTTTTCATTCTAGCTTAAGAAAATGTTTAGGAATTCCCTTGAGGTCCAAAAACATGAAGTCACATCGAATTGTGGCCTAATTAGCATTTTTGAACATGACTGTGTGGATAAATCATTTATTTTACCTGCTTTTATCAGTGTCCTGTTGGGAGACAGGAGCAGAAACCACTTTGTGTGTTTTAAACAAGAAAGAATATGATTTTTAGGGAATAAGCCTACAAAGTACTACAAAGAATAGAGGAACAGACCAGCCTGACCAACGTGGAGAAACCCCATCTCTACTAAAAATACAAAATTAGCCGGGCATGGTGGCACATGCCTGTAATCCCTTCTACTCAGGAGGCTGAGGCAGCAGAATCACTTGAACCTGAGAGATAGAGGTTGTGGTGAGCCGATATTGCACCATTTTACTCCAACCTGGGCAACAAGACCAAGATTCTGTCTCAAAAAAATAAAAATAAAAAAGAATAAAGGAACAAAAGGAAGGAAGATGATGTTTCTGGAGGTAAGGATTACAGAAAGCCTTTGACCCTGCAAGGATGAGTACTGTTCAGAGTTCACCATCATTTGCCTCCATTGTCATGTTGCTGCTACTAGATCCCCCATTTATCTGCTATATGTCCCTATGTAGGAGCTCACAGGGGCGACTGCTCTCTGTTGGTGGTGGTGGCATCACCAGGAGCAGAACGGATTCTTTCCCTTATGCCTTTTAATCTGGTATAGATGCCATTGGCAGAACCTAATAGGAACTCAGTAACTGTCAGAATATTAATGCATGTCCAAGCACTTGAACTAGCTTATCATTAAGGTCCTAGAACTGCCTACCTATGTAGAATGTTTCTGTAGGATTCATGAAAAGTATTGTGGAAGTCTTGATGGTATTTACTATGTTAAAAAATCCAGATTAGATCATAATATATTTTCCCCCTTTTGGTTAGATGCAACTGAAATTCTGAATCCAGTTAGGAAGTTGCAGCTAGCAGGGCTTTCAGTTGTGCTGTGTATTTGGCAAGAAAGTTCAAGAACTGGCTTTTTTCTAGAACATGTTATAAATTCATTGTAAATATAAATGATATTTGCAGCTTGTAGATGCTGTTTTGCCCAGAACATTTTTTTAATTGAATTGAATATGCCTAATATATCAGTGTACTCCTTACTAAGAAAATAAGGGAATGCAGCCGGGTGCGGTGGCTCACACCTGTAATCTCAGCACTTTGGGAGGCGGAGGCACAAGGTCAAGAGATTGAGATCATCCTGCCCAACATGGTGAAACCCCGTTTCTACTAAAAATACAAAAATTAGCTGGGCGTGGTGGTGTGCGCCAGTAGTCCCAGCTACTCGGGAGGCTGAGGCAGAAGAATTGCTTGAACCCTGGAGGCAGAGATTGCAGTGAGCCAAGATCACGCCTCTGCAATCCAGCCTGCAGCCTGGCAACGGAGTGAGACTCTGTCTCAAAAAAAAAAAAAAAAAAAAAAGACAATAAGGGAATGTATCCGGGCCCACGCCTTTGGTCCCAGCTCTTTGGGAGGCCGAGGCAGACAGATTACCTGACGTCAGGAATTCGAGACCAGTGTGGCCATCATGACAAAACCTCATCTCTACTAAAAATACAAAAATTAGTAATCCTAGCTATTCAGGAGGCTGAGGCGGGAGAATTGCTTGAACCTCGGAGGCAGAGGTTGTGGTGAGCTGAGATCATGCCACTGCACTCCAGCCTGGTTGACAGAACAAACTCTTGTCTCAAGAAAAAGAAAATCAGGGAATGCCAGAATTGTGTACAACTTATTTTCCTTGATATATCAAATGGAGGAAACCTGCAGAAACGCTGGAAACTAGAGTAGGTTGCTACCTACATACCATACAATTTTCCTTAAAATTTTTTTAAGAAATTCAGAGAAGTGTTAGATTCGGAGAACTATTTCGAATCATAGGAAGAAGTGGAGAGCTCTCATTTCCTAGGCTCGAGAAAGTTGAATACTTATTGGAAATGTAGGACTCCAGAAAACCCTTAATTTGCAGGTGCAGGGACTAAAGGGTGACAATTAGCTTGGGGTCCTTTTCAGCCAGTATTATTTGAAACCAGCTCTGCACAGAAACCCAAGAGTAGGCTTCTCCTCCCACTTCCACTTCTAAATTGCAGCACTTGGGCTGCAGTAGATTATCTGCAGTGAGGGATGAGCCACAGAGAAGCTGTGCAGTGACTCAGCCCACCTTCCTACATTAAACTTGGTAATCTTACATTTGTGTTTATTTTTCTGGCTTTTGTGATGAATATGGTATGGTCATATCTTACATGGGGTTAGGTTCTAATGTTAGTAAGGCAAAATGTCACGTATACCTAAAATCACACTTCACAAAATTCTAGAGAAGGCATAATCATTTTGGAGACTGCCCCATCAATTCTCAGTAGAGCAGGTAGTCACTTTTATGTCCGCTGTTTGAACAGATGGTTAGGGTGATTCTTTTTTTTTTTTTTTTGAGGCAGTTTCACTTTGTCACCAGGCGCCAGGCTGGAGTGCAGTGGCACAATCTCACTGCAACCTCTGCCTTCCGGGTTCAAGCAATTCTCCTGCCTCAGCCACCCGAGTAGCTGGGACTACAGGTGCATGCCACCACGCCCAGCTAATTTTTTTGTATTTTTAGTAGAGACAGGGTTTCACCATGTTAGATGGCCAGAATGGTCTCGATCTCTTGACCTCATGATCCGCCCACCTCGGCCTCCCAAAGTGCTGGAATTTTTTATAGGCTTGAGCCACCGCGCCCGGCCAGGGTGATTCTTAAGTTGAGTGCTAGCTAAGGTAATAGGCTTGTGTTACAGGAGCTGAGATTTTAAACACTACGGTGATAAACAGCATGTTGATGTACTTAGGCTCTGCAAGATACCCAATGAGAGACTAACGTGGGAATAGCAGGTTTACATCACATGCCTCATACTTTACCTCTCTGGGGCATACCCTTTTTGAATGGAATGGTAGAATCACGACTACTATTTAAATTCTCTATTTCTGGCTAAGTGCACATAATTGAATTTTGTCCACATCAAGTGAGTAAATGATGTGACCACTGTAAAGACATAAATGTATGAATCTGCAACATAAAAAGAGGCTCCATAGGAAACAAAGTATTTGATAGCAGCAGCTTTTTTCTCAAAATTCTCCAAGACTGAAAATGAGAAGATCTAAAACATGAAGGAGCAGTTCAGGATGAAATATTGACAATACATAAAGTGTGTGAAGCTGATTATAAAACATGTATGAGAGCTGGGCATGGTGGTGTGTGCCTATTATCCCAGCACATTGGGAGGCTGAGGTGAGAGGATAGCTTGAGGCCAGGAGTTCAAGACTAGCCTGGGCAATATAGCCTGACCTCTAATTTTTTTCCCTCCTGTGGATAAAAAGGTAAGGGAAACAGGATTGTCGTCTCTGTTTTTTTTTTTAATATGTGAATATAATTTTGAGTGAAATATATGCCAAAATTTTATAAAGTTTTTTTTCAATTCCTGGATAAATGATTTGCTTGCTATATAAGAACGTAGGTTTGACATTTATGGATTTAACATTCCTGCTTTGACTATTCCTAAGTAACCTGGAAGTCTCAAGATATGCAGAGGTATGTGATTTTGCTGATTTAATGTGCAGAAATGAGTCCATTACTTAGAAAATGTGCCTTGCCAGCTGCCCAGTTTATCTCAGGACAGCTTTTTATGTGTGTTTATTTGTTTTTTGTTTTGTTATGTTTTGTTTTGAGACACGGTCTCACTGTCACCCAGGCTGGAGTGCAGCCTCAACCTCTCGGGCTTAAGCAATCCTTTTGCCCCAGCCTTTTGAGTAGCTGGGACTGCAGACACGTACCACCATGCCCAGCTAATTTTAAATTTTTTTACAGAGATTGGGTTTCGTCCATATTGCCCAGGCTGGTCTCAAACTGCTGGCCTCAAGTGATCCGCCCACGGCTCCCAAACTGTTGGGATTACAGGAGTGAGCCACCGTGCCCAGCCTGTTTTTCTTGATTCATTCTTCTGCAGTATTTGCCATGAAGCAATAAACACTGCACCTCTATAAAATCTAGCACTTTGAAAGAAAGCAGGCTAAATTAAGACTGATCTTCAAAGAGAATAGACAGAAGAAATTGATAGTCCTGTCAGAAAACAGGTTTTGATATATTAAAGACTAGGATGTTTGACATGAACATAGTTTGTCATTTTAAACATGGGGGAAAGTTAGGCAATGATACTCAAAGAAGACAAAAATGGTATTTCTCTTCTTTAAAAATATCAGGATGAGCCAGGCATGTTGGGTCATGCCTGTAATCCTATGACTTTGGGAGGCCGAGGCAGGATTGTTTGAGCCCCAGAGTTCAAGATCAGCCTAGGCAACATAGCAAGACACCCATCTCTATTATTTAAAATAAAAATATTAAAAATATAAAACAAATATCTATATCTTTAGTCAAGAGAAATGTACTGTTAAGGAAGCTGCTGTTACCTCTAGTAAAGAATCTAAGTAACTTCAAACCATACATAGATTTTGGATAAATAGAAAAAATCTTGTACATTTTAACAGTATTAGGAAGGTTCTCTAAATATAGGCAAAGAACTGAAGAGTTCCATAGAAGGTGACTAACTCTAAATGTATTATACATGACTGGAAAAGTAATGGCAAGCAAGACTTCAGAGCTGAGCTATCTTGATATTTTTATCCAGTGTGTGGGGTGTTATACATGCATCACAGCTATAATAGAGCTATCACATGGATCTTTTGAAAAACAAGATAGAGATGTTTTAAAGGCTTCTGGGTTTGATTTCTTAGTCAGATGCTGTGGTACTTGGCATTTAACAAGTAGAATTCAGAATCCAGATTTTTAAAAGTGAATTATTTTAAATAACTGAGTTGTAATAAAGAAGTAATTTATTTGAAATTATTTTAGGAAATGGAAGATAAAGTAACTAGTCCAGAGAAAGCTGAAGAAGCAAAATTAAAAGCAAGATATCCTCATCTGGGACAAAAGCCTGGAGGTTCAGATTTCTTAAGGAAACGATTACAGAAAGGGGTAAGTTCTCATGGGTGATTTTCAGATACTTAAACCCACAAATTCAGTATGCTAACAGATTGTCAAATGAATGTCTGTGCGTATAGTGCTGTACTTTAATGTATGTATGTGTATATGTATCTATAATGGGTTTTTTCAATATTTTGCACTGTTTATAAGTAAGCTTAATAAGAATCTACAACTCTTTAGCATTTTTAATAAACTATTTAAAGCTTGTAGAAATATTACAGATGTAACAGAACCCATGTACCCCAACCCAGATTTAATGTTTATATTTTGCCATGTTTCAGTTTTATCTTTCTTAAGAAAGATAATGTTGTAGGTATAGTTGAAACCTACCATGTATGTATATATATGAGCCCTTTCCTTTATCTCTCCAAAAGCAACCACTATCCAGAAGCTGGTCTTTATCCTTCTGCCCATATTTTGAAACAGATTGTGAATCTGTTTTCCAGATGATTCCCACGCAACATTCAAAGACTTAAAATACTTATTTGGATGAAATAATCACTTACAAAAGCGCAGCTATCTCCTTTATATAGGTTTCACAGTCAGATTTACCCTAATACAATTTAAACATTGTCATTTTAATAGTTCATATTGCCGAAGATATTTTCAAACTCTTGCCATGCTTTGTGAGGTAGATACCATTATTTCTCAATAATGAGATTGAGATAATCCTAGCCTGTTTGTTTCCTAAGTGTTGTCCTGTGACCCCTTCCTTTGCCATAAAAAATTAGACAGTTCCATCTTCAGCTTAAGCATATTCAAATTATTTACTATACAGAAAAGGATGAAATATTACTTATGGAAGATAATTGTTGAGTGAGATGCTAAATCATGTTTCTCCTTAAATACATTCATATACTGGTATCAGCTGCTTGCTTAAAAAAACATGTCTATGTGTGTATTAACTCTAGTTACATATGGATTGTTTTAAAGTGGCAAAAGATAGAATGGTATTTTTAATCTTACATGAAAGAATAACATTCACAGCTTTGAAATAGTAGGATGACAAGGAATAATTACAGCAAATTTATAAATATGTAAAACTCCTGTACCATAAAATATATAATCAAGTAGGGAAGTAAATGATAGTTAATATCTAAAATACATAAAGAAACTTTTAAATATACAAAAGGGAACTTTTAAGTATACAAGAAAAACATTTAAGGTGCTCCTAGATAAAGGATTTTAACAGGAAATACAATAAACAGAGAAATCAATGAAATGCAATTACATCATAGTATTTATACAACTAAATTACAAAAATGTTTCAAATAATACCTGTTGGTAATGTTGAAGTTGAATGAATTATTACTTGTTTCTAAAGGAGTATGAATCTAGCTTTATACAATTATTCAAATGAATAATTGTAAATTAATCTAAGGGTATAATTCAGTACAAGGAAAAAGTCTTCAAGTTGGAAGATCCTCCTAACTATAGTTAGTAGTGGCACCACTATTCAACAGCAGAGAAATGACTAAATAAATTGAAGTAAGTCAACAAAATACAGTATGCAGTTATTTTAAAACATAAAGATCATAATATGAGGGATAAATAGAAAAAGTAGAATAAGGACAGTGTTTTTAGTTATGAGATAAATTATGTAATCTTTGACTATTAAATTATTTTGATTTGATTATTGTTTAGGATATGTTTTATTTGCTCATCTCCAGCGTAACTTTGACTAATAGGCTTTCTTCCAGTATTGGGGCTATTGTCATTGTAATTTCTCTCTAACTTCAACTATTGATTACTTTTTAAGTATCTTCAGGTCAGATTTTATGTACATTATATCTTGAAGTTGGTGTTACAGATATAAATAGTAGGAAATGCCACTGAATCAAGAAATAAGTATATAGAATTTGAGAAGTAAGCTCTTGAATGATTCAGTACTATAGCAGAATGTCAGTAAATAAGGTTTGTTTGTTGGTTTGTTTTGTTTTGTTTTTGAGACAGAATTTTGCTGTTGTTGCCCAGGCTGGGGTGCAATGCCACAATTTCGGCTCACTGCAATCTCCACCTCCCGGGTTCAAGTGATTCTCCTTCCTCAGCCTGCGGAGCCCCCGGGATTACAGGCACATGCCACCACTCCTGGCTTATATTTTGTATTTTTAGTAGAGACGGGGTTTTACCATGTTAGTCGGACTGGTCTTAAATTCCTGACCTCAGGTGATCCACCCGCCTCAGCCTTTCAAAGTGCTGGGATTACAGGCATGAGCCACCACACCCAGCCATTTTTTATATGAAGTTTTGATTTTTTTAAAACTCTGGATCACAGGTTCTGGGTTTTAATTTTCCTCTGTCACTAGTTAGCAAACTTGACAAGTTACCTTAGCATCTTTAAGTAGCTTCTCCATTTGAGAAGGTTTGGTTAGATATTATGATTTATTGTAATAGGTCTCTTTCTGTGTTGTACTCATTAATGTTATTATGAGGTTATTGTTGTTATTAGGCTTTTCCCAGTATGACCATGTACACATAACTACATAGATTATCAGAACTGGGAGGGATATCAAGAAGCTGTGTGGCCCATTTTTACTCTTTTTATTTCCTTTTGATTTTGTTTTTGTTTTTTCATATTTGTAGGGGTTGTGAAGTCCCAAGAAAACAGAGAATCCACTTGTAAGAAACATGACTTTACAGTTGAACATTTTCACTTTAAGTGATCACTTAGTGTCAGTGTAGTTGTAAATGCCAATGTAAGTATGGCCCATAAATTTGGGTGAGATGAAGCTTTTATAAGATTATCATCTGGATCATAATTAATTTTTAAATATTTTCATTACAAACTCATGAAATTTAGAGATTGTTAAAGACAACTAATGTCATTATCTTTGTTATCTGTGGATCCCAATTTCAGAAACAATTTAGCTCACTTCTCCACCTTAAAGCATTGACTTCTCTGTCTGGCATCTTTGTTGTATCATTGTCTTTGCTGAATCTCTGTGAGGATTTGCCACCTTTTGCAGTAACCTTTTCCCTTGTAAGGCAATTCTAATTGTCACGCATTGATCTTAGTTTTATCTCTAGTCACACTGAATTTAATTCCTTTCCCCCAGATGGAGTAGACTAATCTACAGTTAAGTGAGATCCCTTTGTGGTGAACTTTTGCTTACTATAAAATTGTTATCATTAGAAACTGAGTTTATTACATTGGGGGGAAATCTGCCTACAACTTACATGTGTGTTAAATTTCTCAGTTTGTGCTTTTGACAAAAAAGAAATTTGGCAGGCTGCTTTGTTTTCCTCTACAGGCTACAAAATTCATAAGTAGCTTTTTAAATATAATGCAGTACATCAAAATTTCAAGGGTTTTCTGTCTGCTCGTTTTGAAACACAGAAGTGAAGCTGCAGCAAGCTTTAGATGGGCCTGGTCCAAGGTTCCCCGTTACTGTTTTATATGGTTCATATACAGTAATACATGAAAGCAGTTTCTATCTTTAAGCCTTTGGGCCATAGGCCAGGTTTGGCTTATCAAAGAATGGTGGAATAAAGCAGTCAGTGAGACTTTTTCCTCAGGCCACTCAACAATCTTAAACTAAGCTGTGAGTTCCTAGCTAGCATGAGGTATCCCTGAAGATATCCTATAAATGTTACCTGGTTTTTTTTTCCCTTTTGTCCAAGCCCTCATTTTATACCTGGATGATTTCCTTTGCCAACCCAAGACTAAGATTAGATTCCCCTGCTTTGAGTGCCACACAGCACTGTGTATACTTAAGGCAGTATTGTAATTTTTGATTACTTGACTAGTGTCCCATCTTTGTATCTTACTCCAACTCTCACATAGTACCTCATGTATAGCAGGCACTCAGTAAAGATGGGTTCAACATGTCAGGTGTAAGTCAGAACCCAGGCAAATTTACGTTTTCACTCTGGAAGTCAAGTAGATTGATTGTATTAATGTTGATATTTAGCTGTCTTCACTATTTGCATGTTGATGACAAAGGGCAACTTAAAAAAGCAGTAGTAATACTTAGTATCTCTGTGAAAGATAGAAGAGGTGTAGGGTAGGGATATACATTTTAAGTAATAATTTCTAGTGAGTTTATTTCATTCATTACTCTAATATTTATGTTTTTAACCTTAACTTTTATTTTGGTGAATGCGCTAGTTCAAATAAATATGATTTAAATTCTTGCAGCAACATTTATTCTAAATGACAGAATACCAGGAACTATAAATAATAGTTTTAATAACTGTAATTATGTGGGATATTTTTGTTTGTTTTTGAGACAGAGTCTTGCTCTGTCGCCCAGGCTGGGGTAAGTCTCTGCAACTTCTGCACCCCGGGTTGCAGCGATTCTTATGTCTCAGCCTCCCGAGTAGCTGGGTTTACAGGCACGTACCACCACGTCCAGCTAATTTTTGTATTTTTAGTAGAGGTGGGGTTTCACCATGTTGGCCGGGCTGGTTTCAAACTCCTGACCTCAAGTGATCCTCCCGCCTCGGCCTGTCAAAGTGTTGGGATTATAGGCGTGAGCCACCATGCCCAGCTGAATTATGTGTTTTATTTATAAAATAATTTAAGCAAGTGTTTCAGCCTGGTTGTTCCATTTGTAAATGAAAGGGGTTTTTTTTTTCGCTGAGTTAAATAAATTATAATATTAAATAAATACACCAATATTAAGCTGTCTAGGACTTCCCAGATAGCTTAATATTAGTCTTGATGGTTCTTTATTAGAACCAGAATGCTTCAAGAAAGCCTGGAGGGGGGTTGTTGTTTTTCTTCTTCTTCTTTCTTCTTTTTCTTCTTTCTTCTTTCTTCTTCTTCTTCTTCTTCTTCCTTCTTTCTTCTTTCTTCTTCTTTCTTTCCTTCCTTCCTTCCTTCCCTCCTTCCCTCCTCCTCCTCCTCCTCCCTCTTTCTTTCTTTCCTTCTTTCTTCTTCCTTTCTTCTTTTTTTTTTTTTTTTTTTTTTTTTTTTTTTTTTTTTTTTTTTTTTTTTTTTTTTTTTTTTTTTTTTTTTTTTTTTTTTTTTTTTTGAGACGGTGTCACCCTGTTGCCCAGACTGAAATACAGTGGGGTGATCTCAGCTCACTGCAGCCTCTACCTGCCAGGTTCAAGTGACTCTCAGGCCTCAGCCGCTGAAGTTACAGGCATGTGCTGGAATTAAAAATGTGCACCACCACACCCAGCTAATTTATGTTTTTTGGTTTTTGTTTTTTGTTTTTTTTTTTTTAGTAGAGACGGGTTTTCACCATATTGGCCAGGCTGGTGTCAAACTCCTGACCTCAAGTGGTTTGCCCATCTTGGCATTGGGATTTCAAACATTAGCCACTGCGCCCAGCCTGAACAGGGGCTCCTCACCTGTTGATTTATGCTGGAACACAATACAGAGGCATAGCTATTTCATCTAATTAATATTTCTGTTTAAATTTTTTTAGACCAATCTTACACTGACAGTGTGGGTTTGCATCAGTAATTGCTAAGCTCTAATCTGAATTTTTTTTTTTATTTATAGCAAAAATATTTTGATTCTGGGGATTACAACATGGCTAAAGCAAAAATGAAGAACAAGCAACTTCCTACTGCAGCTCCGGATAAGACAGAGGTCACTGGTGACCACATTCCCACTCCACAGGATCTTCCTCAACGGAAACCATCCCTTGTTGCTAGCAAGCTGGCCGGCTGATTAAAAGAGCTGAACTGCATGAATCTGCTAATTCCCATTATTTTTCCTTAATATGTTACTTACCTACTTTTTATTTCCTTTCATTCACTAAGTCATTTGAGACTGACAGCTTTGCAGGTAGCAGTAGTGTGTGCTGCTATTGTGGAATATACATGTGTAGAGTTTTTGATTAGTTTAACAGTGCACTGGTGAAGAGGACGTGTTAGAGAAGCATAAGTAATCTACTTGAAAATAATTGTATATATTACCTAACTCCTAGTGTAGTACTGGTTCTAACAAGTAACAAGCAAATTTTAAAATTTTAATGTTTTGGCTTTCATTACTTCATCTTAATTATAGCTTTGTATGTTATTCTTATTTAATATAATCTATTGTATTGATTTATTCTGTATTTACCTTTTGGATTTTGTAAAACAGAAGTTTAAGACCACAAGTTAGAAGAAAGGTCACATATTTCAAACCAACTAGATGGGGCTTTGAAAGATTTGTATCTCTATGCTTGAACTTGAATGGCCTTAAACCTGTTTTAGCTTTAACAATAGAATTTTACTTGGGCAATATTTGCCCATTCTGGTGTAACTTACGTGACTCTAGTTCTTAACAGCTGCCGTTGAAGCTAATACTCTTATTTCAGTTCTGTAGAGTTAGAATACCTTTTGTTGTTGAAGATGTGAATGAAGTATGCATGTGCATTGACTTGAATTCACTTTTGTGCCATTTTTGTAAATACAATAGTTTTGCACAACCTCTCACAAATGTCTGTATTAATTTCACATATTTAAAAAATAGATAATGTGCCAATCAGAAGCACAAGAGTTCTTACACAAAACTCTGTAAATTATTACAGCTTTTGTATAATAAGAGTAGTTTACAATCTCGGGCTTATAGAATACCAAACTGAAATCTTAGTTCAATCTGCCATAGACTTAAGCTTTTCATTTGTTACTAACACCCATGACATTCAGTGGCCTTGTGCAAATACGATATGTTGCTTAGGCATATCTTTTGTCCTATGCAGAACCTTTCATTTTGATTTGTATGAAAGTTGCAATTCATGTAATTTATATAAACTTTTTAAATGTAGAAACTTTTTACTTCCACACTCAACTTTGGAGACACTAGAGTAAAAGGCATCAATACTCTGCATTCCATGCCCCCTGCCACCTGCCTCTCCTCCACCACCCCTGCCGCTTTGTTCTTTGACTCAAATAGTATTGGGCTGTTTGTTCTATATGGAAGCTTAGGTGTCTATATCCTTACTCTTTTATATAACACATTACAGTAATGATGTTTTCCTCTGAATTTTTTAGTTGTTAAATAACTTCTCTGGTTTTTTTTTTTTTTTTTTTTTTTTTTTTTTTTTTTTTTTTTTTTTTTTTTTTTTTTTTTNTTTTTGAGATAGGGTCTTGCTCTATCACCTGGGCTCTACTGCAGTAGTACAATCATAGCTCACTGCAGCTTTACTCCTAGGCTCAAGTTAACTATTCTTAATCCTTTATTACTAATATTCTACAATTGCCTAAAATGAGCTTTATAATGAAACAGTTCAGAATGCTGGCTCAAGAACCTATGTCAAGATGAGCTGAATTTGGGGAAATTATTTTAAGAATTATGACAAGCTAATTGAATTAGGCTTGTGACAATGAGAATAGTATACATGACAGGTAAAACTTAAAAATGTTTAGATAGTTGCTTCTATCGATGTTGCTTTAATAAAATACCAATTTAGTTTTACTTGTGGCCTACCTAGTTAGTAAGAACTTTAACAGACTTTATTGGGACAAGTTTACCGCTCTTGTAGGAGCTCCTCTCACAAGTAGTTGTAATGCCGTAGCGTGATGCTCAGGATCAGTAGCTTGAGATGTTACTATTTTTCTCTTCAACTTTGACTTGCAGAGAGCCTCCCCTTTTTGGATCCAGGCATCTTTTCTGAATCCTGGTTCCATTAGTATACCTGGTCTCCTATGATCCCAAATCATAGTCAGTGGTGCCTCAAACATAGCACCTTCAGTTAAAGGCTGCCTTGTACTCTGAGGAAAGCTTGGTGATTATCTTCCTGCTCTACTCACCCCAAAAGGCAGAAAAGCAACACAGTCAGTCCTGTGCTCATTTGTAAAGATCAGTTATATACATATATATATATATATATTTGTAATGCAAGCAAGTATAATATACTCATTATAGGATCAATTTAAGAAGTTTAAAATATCCCAAAGTAGAATTTCTGTATCTAGTCTTTTGTTTTTTTCATGAATATATGCAAGCGATTACCATTAAATTCACATGTGAAAGATTAATCTGAAAGATTAGACCATGATAGAACTGCTCCTGTGATTGGGGACAAGTAACAAAACATCTGCTTGAATTTTGTTTGTAAAATACACTCTTAATATTTGACCTACCTCAAAATGTATTGAGGATCTGTGAAATGCTAAGTGCCCAAAATTAAATATTGCTGATTGTCTTTTTATTAAAAGTAAATTTCCTCATTAAGCCAACCTGCCTTGTGTAAGTCACCGTGCTTAAATCTCAGGAGTTTTCATTAGGAGAGACCTGCCATTAAGGATTTGTAGGTATAATTGCTTAGCCTCCGTTATTGGTGCTTGGGATAGAGAGGTTTTAGATTTTTCTGTTTTGTGTTCTGCCTCAAAGTTCAGTTTATTGAAGACATTTGTAAGCTACTGAATCACTTGAATCAAGATTTTGACTAGTGAGCTTAATTGTCCATTTCTTATGATTTCAAAGTTATAGTCTGAGAAATGGCTAATTTTAATAACTGTCCTATTATAAATTAATGTTGGAATAAACTGAAGTTAGAGATAAATACTTCATGAAAACTGGCTAAAGTCTGAAATCACTTGTTTTATGTCCAATAGCAACTACATTTGATAGAACAGTTTTGAGAAACATTTCATTCTTGAAGGCAACATCTGACATGGTTCTCAGCAAGTTGGAATGGTAAGGATTGTTGGGTTGTTTTGATGAGTGGAAGCAGCATGTTTGTAGCATACAAGTTATTCAATAATCTTGTGCTGTTGACCTAAAAATATGTCTTAACTATTCATCAAGGCAAGCCTGGTGAAGCCTTTACTTGTTACTACTTCAACAGTTGGAATTAGTTGCTCTTTTTACTTGATGAAACTATACCTCTGATTATTTATGGATATTTTTTACTAAATCAGGCTTGTGTTTGTAATCCAACTGAGTAAAGTTTTATGGAAGCTGAAATGTAATACAGTAATCTCCCCTTATCTGCAAGAGACACATTCCAAGACCCCCAGTGGATACCTGAAACCTCAGATAGTATTGAACCCCTTATAATACAGTCGGCTCCCCCTATCTGCAGGAGGTACATTCCAAGATCCCTAGTGGGTACCTGAAACTTCAGGTAGTACGGAACCCTTTATAGACTATATTTTTTCAATCTGACAACCAAGGTGGCTACTAAGTGACTATGGGGCATGTAGTATATAGTGTGGGTAAGCAGGACAAAGGGATGATTCACATCCTGGGCAAGACAGAGCAGGAGATCATAAGATTTCATCACTCAAGATAGCTTGTGATTTATTTTTATTAATATTTTTGTTTGAGATGGAGTCTTGTTCTGTTGCCCAGATTGGAGTGTAGTGGTGCGATCTTCACTCACTGGAACCTCCACCTCCTGGGTTCAAGCGATTCTTTTGCCTCAGCCTCTCAAGTAGCTGGGATTACAGGTGCCCGCCACCATGCCCAGCTAATTTTTTTATTTTTAGAAGAGATGGGTTTTCACCAAGTTGGCCAGGCTGGTCTTGAACTCCTGACCTCAGGCGATCCACCTGCCTTGTCCTCCCACGGTGCTGGGAATTCAGGCATGAACCACCGTGCCCAGCTGGCTTGTGATTTAAAACATGAATTGTTTATTTCTGGAATTTTCCACATAATATGTTTGGACCAAGGTTGCCTCAGGTAACAAACTACAGAAAGAGAAATTGCAGATAAAGGGGGTTACTGTTCCTGTGCTCTACTATTGGTGTTTGGGTGCTCCGGAGCAGGTAGCCAATTGGAAGAGCACTTCTGAATGATAACTAAAGCAGTTTCTCTGGTGGCCTTTTCACATTCTCCAATGTTCAAGCATATTTTCCACTTTATATTTTCTCTTTCACCTCATTTTGCTTCGCCCCCCCATCCCTGCTTATTTCTTAAGCCCATTGATGGCACTCATTAAATTGTGTTTAGGACTAATGAATCATTGATCCTTAATATTCTTTTCAATGTGACACAATTTAGGACGCATTTAAAATTTTCTAAAACAATATCCTAATCTGAATATTGACAAATTTGAGCTACATTCCCAACTCCAGTTCAGCACACACTGCCAGTCTTCCCCAATATCTCCTCTCAGCTCCCCACCATACCTATTAAAATTGGAATCAAAGATAATCTTGTTCTGTCAATGTTAATCTAAGAATAAAAACACTGATTTTAATACTGTTTTACTAGTGTCAGCCTTCTAAGTAGGTAGGCTTCTCGGTATTTTGCAGCTCACTGGTGGTCTTGATAGCCATTAATATGTATTATGTTATTTTTCAACTAAATCGCAGTTGGAAAAAAACATCTTATGTATTACGCCCTTGGATCTGTTACTGCATCACTACCAGTTGTGATGCAATAGGACACTTCACCTGTACTCAAAGGGCCAAGAGTAAATGCCTTGTTTTTGTTTTTTTGTTAAACATGTCTATAGAGTTGGCAGTTAATGCTGAATTTGTCAAATAGCCCTTCCAAAATTATACTTGTATTTAAAAAAATAAATGGATCTACCTAATTTCTATTGGTTTAACTTGAAGTTTTGTCTTATTAAAGTGGTATGTTTTTCAGTGTACTCTTTCTGAAGTTGATTTCTTTACATTTCAGCTATTACTGTATGCAGAAAGAAACTGACTTGTAATCTTTGATTTTTTTTTCTTTTTTTGCGTTAGTAAAGGCTTTGTACTTAAGAGAGGATTAAATGTTTTCAGATTGTGAGTCTTCGTCTTATTTGTGAAACATGACAGAGAAGGGCCTTCAACGTGGCTGACTAGAGATGTCTGGTACCCAGCTTCTCCACAAAGAGCCACAATAGTGAGGAGATAACACCTCAATTAGATCATACAAGAGAAAACTTAGGAATTAAACAGAGAAAGGACAAGAAACACTTAAGGAGAAGGAAGCAAGGCAGCCTGCTTGACCAGGATCTTCTGGGGGCCTGGAAAGATTAAATGAGTGACTCCCAGAAGTCCATGTTCTCACCACAGACTCCTGCATCCTAGCCACAGGAAACCTCCAGACCCTTATAGGCCCCAAGACAATACAGGAGCTGCTTGGAGACCACAAAAGATAGTGTTCCAGAGAGAGAGTTTACACTGTCCCCCAACCCAAAACCCTAAGCAGCTACAGCAAGGCACCATATGGAAAGCTTAGCTCCCACCAGACTGCATCCTGCCCAGAAGCCCTACAGCCCTTGCATCTCCACATCTCTAGAACCCCATTGATGTTCCGCACCAATAGCCACCACTACCACAGCTGGCTGCTGCCTACAGGGCTGAAGTGCCAGCCATTGGCAAAGACCTTGCTGCCTTAGTAGTAAAGCTACCATGCATTTTTGTGTGCCCTGAGGACAAACTCCCCTGCCTGCAGTGGCCTGACCACAAGCTGCTGCAACCAAGGCCAACGCACGAGTGATACACAGGCTTACAGCCTCCTGGGTGTGGCTGCTGCAACTGAAAACAACCCT